CTGACTGCTTTTTCGCGCAGAATAACAACTCGTTGTTCTCCTCTCTCCCACTGTTTGCATAAGAAAAATAATCGAGTTTTTTGAAGAGGAGAAGAGCTCATCGACATTTCAATGGCTTGTTATTTTTCGATTAGTATTCGGATGGGAAAAAGTGTGAAGGCTTCATACTGCTACCAACAAGCACTTACTTGCTAGGTAGTTTTAATTTACAAGACACATGAGGGTGTGCGTGTGGGTGTGGATGCGGGTGTGGATGCGGGTGTGGATGCGGGTGTGGATGCGGGTGTGGATGCGGGTGTGGATGCGGGTGGTGTGGGTGTGGGTGTGGGTGTGGGTGTGGGTGGGTGTGGATGTGGGTGTTGTTATTCTTCTACGCCACACTTAACCCACACCCACACCCTAAATGAAAATGGTTAAAAAAAAAAGACATTTTTGAAAACATGAGGTTTTATTTTTTTTATTTAAGGTTTAAAAACATTTTTAAAAAATGTTGATTCAATATTTACATGTATTGCCAATCGACAATTAGATCGTTTATTTTCAATGCGTGATTCATATAAATTTGTTGATCATCTTATAAATTGTTTTCAACAAAAGAAAATTGCTATTGAACGTAATCGTTTGCAACAAAAAGAATTAGAAGAAAAAGCATCAAATTCTTTAAAAGAAGAACAACAATTAAAAGAGAAATTAGATGTATTAATTTTATATACAAAACAACTTAAAGAACAGGTTACATATTTTGTTTTTTGAAAAATAATTACAAGATTTTATGAGACTTTTTTTTTAAGGTAGCAAAGAAAGTTTCGGTGAAAAAATGTCAAAATCGACGTATCAATATAATGGGCGAAATCAATAGATTATAAAGATTTTATTTTATTTTTTTCTTTTAAAAACTCTGCAATGTGTGTGTGTGTATGTTGGGGGGATTGATTTTATCATTGTACAGATTAGGGCTGTACCGCTCACGCTCATGTGCGCTCATATGAGCATGAGCGACCACCTCTCACGTGAGCATGAGTGTCAGCGAAAAATCGCTCACGCTCATATGAGCGCTCATGAGCGTGAGCGGTACAGCCCTAGTACAGATATTAATAAAAACAGATGCAGAGGATTTCCATAACATATCGTCAGTGTTCTGTGACCCATTTGCTATAAGAAAAAACAAAAAGCAAGTTTTGTCGTCTATGAAAATTTCTATAAAAATTCTTATATCAGCTATTCATTGATTAATAATTATATATATATACTTGAAAAACCACGAGATCTCGGAGATTCATGAGAAGACAAAATACGATTTATATGCTATACAATGCCAGATAACGTTACGATCATCGTTTCATTGTGAAATTAAATGGTTGTTTTTTAATTCAGATTGGGAGCATATAGAACATTATGTGTTGCCGAAATTATCTAATCTTGAAATATAAATATTTTAGTCAAAAAGTTCGACTTGCTGTATTTATGCATGTTTTTATGAGCCAGTCCTTGTAAGCCACGACCGACTCTGCTCAATCGAGGTCGTCAGATGTTGCTCAATTTAAGAGATGTGATAGAGAGAAGAGTTCTAAGAATTTTGGCGCAAGCCGTTTTAAAAAATATTGATCCCTCGATTTTTTATGAACATTTTACGAAAAGCCCTAAAATTGACCATATTCATCAACGGGAGTACTAATGAGGCTATATCTCAAAAATGGCTCGTTCGATTGAGCTAAAATCTTTTATTGATATATATCTCAGTAAGTTCTATTTACCATAAAATTTTTGTTGAAAACTATTGAGTCCTTAGAATTTTATGAATTACTCAACATATGAAAAAAGTCACCTTTTTTGCAACTTTGGTACTTCATAACTTTTGATTGGAACTACATTATGGTCTGAAATTTTTATGATGGACAGATACCTTAAAGATGTGTCGCTCCGAAAAGTTTCAACTCTCTAGCTTGTTCCCTTCAGTCAGGAGACACCTCTCAGAAATGGGTTTTTGATAAAAATGCCAGTTTTCAGAAATAGCTTTCTCCCAAGAAATGGATTACCTGGGAAGCTGGAATTGTAAAGTCGAAAGTCCTCTCTCTGGGCTACAATTCTGTAAAAAAATTAGCGTGGGATCTCCATAAACGGCTTGCACCGGAGGTCATCTTTATGCGGGTTTTTGCCAAGTAGTATCCCTTTGGGTACCTCTTCCATCTCATACAAACGTATCAGCAGCCAAGTTGAATTTCAGCGATTGAAGGTCTCACTACTCACAGACTTGTAA